TTATTAGTTTTGTTTTAATGAAATGAATAAAGAATTGAAACTGAAACTATCAAAATATGACAACCAGCTTTATTTACTGTTAAAATAGATTTAGTTAAAGTTGTGTTTCTCTGTTCTGGTGGTAACATTTAATATTTTTAAACTAAATATATTATATATTGTGGTGGTAGTTTGGTGTGTCTGTTTGCAGTTTTTGGGTTAACACTGCAGTTAACACTGCATTTTCTTTCCTCCTTGCTGCATTTTCACCCTCTGCTTTATCTGTTTTCTTTCTCACCTTCTCATGGCATGTTGGGGTGTGTGTGTGTGTGTGTGTGTGTGTGTGTGTGTGTGTGTGTCTGTGGCCTGTGCATGTGTCCTCCTTCCTTTGTGCCTGCCTGCTGCCTGCCTACTGTAGGCCGAGGGAATCACTATGCCTACTACGCCTATCGGCACCAAGAAGGTAAAGATGCGCCGCGCCTTCTGTGTCTGTTGCTGYTGGGGTTGTTTGACCTCTGACCACTCGTTTTAGCTCACAGTAGTCCAACACATTCACCTGAACAGGGACCACATGTCTTATTAAACCTCGATTCATTTGAAACGTTCACAGAAGAACAGACRCAGTGTGAGCTTTGGACGAGAAATTACTGAAAGAAAAAAATATATTTTTGTCAATTTAAAACCACTTTAAAGCTGGGGTGCCCAAACAAGAAGGTCAAATTGAAAATCTACCTGAGGGTTGTGGCCCAAATGCAACAGTTTAATTCATGAAATACGTACAAATACTGCTTCAGTAAAGTTTTTTTTATAATTAAGCTAGCAGCTAGTGCGGCGACCATTGATTTTTGTTTGCTTTTTTTTTTATCCCGTGCACTTAGAGAAAGTTTATGTACACTCAGGCAGCAACGGCTCATAGGACATTTCATAAATTGATCAAATATGAGTATTTGTGGTCTTGTAAAGTGTGTAAACCTAGATGTGTTCTTAAATCTAATCTACATGTACTGTACAGGGATGGGAAATCGTCCCTATTTTCAGATCATAAATCACCTGTTATCTCTCCTCTTATTTGACTGACAGGTGTCAGGTTGTGAAACATGGAAGCTCTGTGTCCGGGTCTCTGCCCTGTTCCGTGGGAGTTCCGCAGGGTAGCATACTGGGCCCATTGCTTTTCCTATTATACATAAATGACCTTCCAATAATATTGAAGTACTGGTATTCAAATATTTTAATGTATGCTGGTGATACTGTTCTTTTTTTTGTCTGATTTT